TTATTAACCTCAGATTAATCTTGTTCATTATTTATCATTCCTTTAATAAAAGCCTGCATTTGAGGCCCAGGGCCGTGGTGTGGTGTAGCTGGGCAGCCCTGTGTGATGTAGAGGGCAGAGCACAGAGCCAAGGGGAGAATTATCGGGCGACGCTTTTTGTCCAGGTTGATTCCTTTAAATTATTTCGGGATTAATTAAGACTAGAAGATAAAAAATTGATCCAGTGTTCTAGCAGGGTAATGAAACGGTCTGGAGGCCCCCAAAAAATACGTACAGTGTATAATTCATGTAGTTTGCTATTAAAATAAAACTGTGAGAGAGAAAAATGGCCCAAAACTCCAGGACCCAAAGTGCAGTTGGCAGAAGGGAATGGAGGGATGTGGAGAGGAGCTTTCCTGATAATCCTCTTTTCCCCTTCCCCAGGCAGTTTGTTGTGGTGCCTGGAGCTTCCTTTCCAGCTCTCATGTTGTAGAAGTTTCTACAACAACAATGGATATGATTGAGGGTTTGTACAAAATGTCATTATAGTATTTGGAAATATAAAACAAAATCAATTTAATTGGAAAAAATAGTATTTGGAGATATAAAACATTATAGTATCTGGATACAAAAAAATATATTTAATATATAAATATGTTTGGCACTTTTCAGCCAGACAGTAAAATACACAGAGCCAAGAAACTTGGCTAATTCATATAAAATCACAGTGCTAAATCCAGTTCCTCACCACCACCAGTTGCCCTGCAGTAGTTGAGGGAATAACTTTCTCTCCAGGAAAAACTTCACATGTTGTTTGTTACATGCTGGGATGAACCTCACCTTTCCTTTCAGAATGTCTCAAAATTATGTACTCTTGCAGCCATACTTTGGGTTGCTTGGGACAGTTTAAAGGGAGGATTTCCTAATTTCCTTAGTTTTGTTTTGTTTTCTTGCCATCCATAGTGAAATCTAATTTTTGTGCATCACAATTGACAGGAAATGCTGCAAACCTTGTGTTTCACACAGAAGAGCAGTTCCTGCCTGTCCAACTTGAGGGTGACATAGTGGGTGATAACATAGGAATTATGGGAATCATTAAAGATTGGATTCATCTCTGTAACTGTCAGTAAAGCCTATAAAAAATAATAGTGTGTTGTACCCACACTGTTCTTATTAAAAATGATAAATGATCCCCATTTTTTGGCTAATACTGATTCCAAAATTTCATTCTTCTCTTCAGCTTTATGGTCACCATAATCTTGATGTTTTAATAGCTTTTCCCATAATAGCCCCAGAGACCTTTTTAAGTGGCAGCCCTGACTTTATGGAAGAGACTTTAAAAAAAAAAAAAAAATCAAGAAGAGTTTCTTGTACTTAAAGGCAAAGACAAAATATATGAATTTCCCAAGACAGGCGACCAGAGAACATTGTTTTGGCAAAACCATAAGGTCTAATTACAGTAATTACTCGTAGCAGAATTTCTGTGCAGCTTTCAGTAACTTTTTTTCCCTGCTTGGTGTAATTTAGAAGTGTCTTTAGTTTTGTTTCTTGTCTTGAGCAGAATATTCTGGGGGCAGCATAGGGAGACTTTAATTGAGTTTATCATTGAGTGCTTTAGAAAAGTGATGAGATCTGAAGGTGATCAGGAAAAACAGACCCAAGGGGGCTATGGGTTTTGCCAGAAATCTCTGCATCTCCCATTTTCCAGGTTTCTCTGCTGGTGTCCTGGAAATTGGCTCAGAACTTTTCTTTTTTGGGGGGAGAAAAAGAGTTTGTCTGCATTCTGATAGTAAACTTGAGAGGCAGATCTTAAACATCCTAAATCTGTGTTCCAGTGCCTTGAGTAATTTATTTCTTTTTTAATTGCTGGCTCAAAGTCAAATCAAGCTGCTTCTACCACACCTGTCACCTCCACTGCTCTTTTTCCCAAATTTTCCATAGGCTCCTTTGGAAGACATGAGTGATATTAACTAATTTAGGACAGTCTTCCCCATCTCTGGTCCCTTGGTAGAGCAAATATTCATCACTTTGTGACCTTGTGTGCAGAAACCTGCGTTCCTTGGGCAAAAAGAAATCCACTTTTCCTTCTTCCAGCATCTGCCTGCTATGGTAGAATGTGTATTCCAGGGAGCCAAGGCTGTGTAGCCCATCAGCAAGGATTTGTGTGGATGAAAAAGGCTCTTTGTGTGGTCTGTGGAGCAAGGAAGGTTTTGGGGTTGAGTGTCTTCCTTCTGGTATTATGAGAGTATCTGTACCAAGTGTACAAGTAACTTCTCCATCCTCTTGTCCTGATAATCATTACAGAAGTGAAGATTTGCCATCCAAAAATCTTCATCTCATCCTGATCTCTCATGGAATTCCAGGCAATGAGGAAGAGTAAGGTAGCACAGCACAGCCTTTGGGTCTTTGGGCAGTGGGTGGTCAAGGTGGTGCTCTGCAGCTGGCCTGGGATTGCAGCTTCTGGAATTTCCCTTTTTCTTTAAAACCAGCACATATAGGTCCGAAATCTTCCTGTTATATTCCAGGTTGGAGAGACCTACTAGAATATGCTTCAAAGGGGAAACGGAAAGCGTGGTAAAATAGGCAAAAATTACACTACAAGGACCCCAAATTAGAAAGGAGAAGTTTGTGATAAATTCCTGAAGGAATTAGAGTCTAATGTGTAATTAGAAAACCACAAAGTGCTCGTTGCTGCTCGTTCTTTGTGCTCAAAGACTCTGTGGTGGTAACTTTGGGAAACGTTTCCATCACGCGCCACCTCGGGCTGTATTTTAAGTGTCTGTTTACACAGTTGTTACAAATTGCCTGTGGGATGTGAGCTGTCTATCACTTCCAGAGCAATTAGGAAGTGAAACCTTATCAAAAGAAATCCGTCAAGTTTGAAAAGCCATAAATATTGCACTGGGATCTCTAAGGAAATCAAAGGGAGTTTGATACAGTATTTATTTACATGTTGCTGCACAAGCAGATGCACTTAGAGGTGCTCTAGTCTGTGCTGTTCCCTGTGCTCTATATTCCATTAGTCCCATGTTATTTGAGAGAGAGAAAGAGAGAATTACCCAGTTGTTTTAAGTATTATATAGCAAAGGACTGCTCCTAAAGTCTAATTCTGTGTGTTTTGGGCAGTTATATCTTTGTGATTTGTTGTGATGAAAGGAAGACAGAGCTGCAGCTTCAGCTCTTTACTATGTTCCTTAGTGTTATGCAGCCAAATTAATGGTTTGAAGATGGCTTTTGGGAAGATTTTGATGTTTTGCACCGTAGAAATAGGTCTCTTTTAGTTCCCCCTTGTGTTGGGTTGCTCTGTTTGGAGGGATCCCACATCATCACCATTGCACAGCTCTCCATTTGCCTTCTGCTTGCCTGTGACCTGCTTGCCAGGGGTTTCCAAGCTGGCACTCAGCTCAAGTGACACAATTATTCAAGACTTTTAACTAAGGCAGAGGCGAGGAAAAGCTCCTCCACCCATTGTAGGGTTGCAAAGGCTGTCTTGGAAATGACGGCAGAAGGGCTCTCGATGGCTCTCACCAGCAAAGAGGCAAGAACTCTTCAAGCCAAAGGGCTCATTAGCCCAGAAGAGCAGACCTATAGAACAGCAATGAAATATTTAACCTGGAAATTAGAGGCTTCTTAGCAATTAAAGTCATATCAATTCATACAGGGAAGCAGAAGCCAAAACTCTTGCTGGTTTAGGGTGTAATTATGAACGGGACAATGTGACCTCCTTGGGAGGATGGGGGACAGGGGTTGATCAAGAAAGACCCTCCCATCCTGTGTTTTTCTGTGGTCAGTTCACCATTCCACAGTCAATGCAAAATGTTGTCATATTGAAGAGTTCAGGAGGGCTTTGGTGCAAACCTGCTGTGTGCAGAGTCACTCAAATTCCAACACCTCTGTGCATCCCGGGGCAGTGATGTTTGTTTACCTGTTGCTGGCTGCTTCTGGAGGAGCAACATAATTGTTCATCAAGAGTAAATTTAAAAAAAAAACACCACAAAAACCAAAAAACAACCAAACTTACCTACTTGCAGCAAATAATAAGCTGGCTGAGAAGTGGTACCTTATTTGCTCTGAGTATCCTCTTGACATCAGCATGAGGCTCCTTATAATGAGATGCACATGTGTAAATATGACGATTAGATATTCCCTCATAAACATAATTATCATATCTTCCTAAAAGTCTGAGCAGGCATTTCAGAATCCTGTCGTTAGAAATAAATAAATAAAAGCCAACAATCTGCATTCTGCCACTTCTCCCAGTAAACAGTGGAACATGAGGGCAGAATATATTTCCCGAAGTACTTAATGGGAGTTGGGGTCAATTACAGTTACGACTCATTAGAGTATTAAAATAAAAGTATGATTTTTAGTATAATTAGTGTGCCCTTAGAAAACTGCAGCAATCTTGTAGCCACTTTAGTTCCCCAAGCTTTGTCAGTGTGACTTGGGCAGATGTAACAGGGTTATGTTGCATTAACCTCACCCACAAACTCTGCAGCCGCCACGACATCTCTCCCACTTCTTGTTTTATTGCCCAAATAAACTTCCAGAGATGCCTTATAAAACACAGAGCACTGTCTAATTAGTCACATAGAAGATTACAGCTGCTTAATTTAGTGTTCAGTTTTTTGCTGATTCGGGAATTCCCAAGGAATAAAACATACAGTGGGTGATGACAGGGCTCGGCAGATCCTCCTCCCGGCTGTCTTCGAAGGGAAAAAAAAATTAACAAGGAGGAATGAAAGAAGTCATGAATCGGGTTGAAATGTTCATGACAAAAAGGTGAGACTCTTGTAAAACACATCATATTCTGTCACGAGTCAGGTTGAAATGTTCACGACAGAAAGGTGACATTCTTGTAAAGTGCATCGTATTGTGAGAGAACTTGGAGGAGTGACAAGAACATGAGATCTGTGTGCAGGCTCAGAGGTGCCACAGTTGGAAATCTGTATTTGTAGCCATGAGGATCATTTCATGGGGTGTGATATCTCCAGTTTTCCTAACCAACCCTGTGCTTCCAGAGCTCACCTACGCTTGGATCTTCAACGAGTACCCGACCTTCGTGCACCAGGACAGCCGGCGCTTCGTGTCGCAGGAGACGGGCAACCTCTACATCGCCAAGGTGGAGGCCTCGGACGTGGGCAACTACACCTGTGTGGTGACCAACACCGTGACCAACAGCAAGGTCCTGGGCCCCCCCACCCCCCTCATCCTCAGGAACGACGGTAGGACTGGGACAGAGAATCCCCAGCTGGGCTTGGAGGTGTTGTCCTGCACTTTTTTTTGACTGGCTGTCCCCCAGAAATTAAGAAATGGCCTGAAATATTTACATTGGGGTAAAGGGAGAGGTTTTTCCCCTTCACGGTGAGGCTGCAGACCTCTGCTCTCGCTGGGGTTCAAAGTCATGGCCAGCTGTGGGATTTAAGGATGCTGTGGCCAAGGTTGCTCTTCCCGCCACTGGGAACAACTCTCAGTGTCAGGCAATAATTATAAAAGAAATACGTGGTGAGAGTTGGCAAAAGACAGGAAACAAAATGGATTTTAGAGTCTGGATATACCAGTTGTGCTCATTTTCTGCAGCCTGAAAGTGAACAAAAGCACTTTGTTGTTTCGGTAACTGTGAGCTCAGGCTGTATTTCCCAGCAGAATTAGGGCTATTTTTAGTAGTCTGTGGAATAATACAAAAAAGCAAGAAGAAAGCAAAAGAAGATTTCTAAATTTATACAGACAATTGATTTGTATCGTCGTCATTTTTGTGAAGATAAGAAAAATAAATTTACGTGTTAATTTACAATTAAAATTAATTAAAATGTGTCGGGTCTAAAGGATAACAGATAGGACATTTGTTCCCGAAATAGAAATGCATTATTAGCAACTTCTTCTAGAAGATCTGTTGTCACATAATGGTATTTGACCAAAATTCCTTGCTTTTAAAACCAGGGCTCATTGCTGCTGCCTCCTGCCCATCACTGTTCCCATCATGTTGACACAATTCCTGTGGATGGAGAATGGGGAAAGTCTAAAAGGAATAGTTAAGTTTGCTTCATGCTAACAATTTAGGTGTTGAAGAAGATTTTTAAGTACTCCAGTAATAGGACATTTTTGCAAACCCTACTTGGCTGGAAGTGCTGGAGAGGGACTTTTTCAAGGGTGTGTAGTGATAGAACAAGAAGTAATGGCTTTAAACTGACAAAGGACAGGATTAGATTAGGAAGGAATCCTTCCCTGTGAGTGTGGGGGGGCCCTGGCACAGGTTGCCCAGAGAAGCTGTGGCTGCCCCATCCCTGGAAGTGTCCAAGGCCAGGTTGGACGGGGCTTGGAGCACCCTGGGATAGTGGGAGGTGTCCCTGCCCATGGCAGGGGGTGGCACTGGATGAGATTTAAGTCCCTCCCAACCCAAACCAGTCTGTGATTCCATGGACTGAGGCACAGCCCTCATTCCCAGCGCAGCTCATGGTGCAGGGTGGGATGTGTGGGGCTGAAATCTCACCTGCAGGAACCCCAAGGTTTCTTTTCACGTTTCTTCAGTTTATGGCAGTAATTTTTCTAGCCTCAGTTGTGAGTCATTTAGGCTTTTTACATCCAATAGCTGCTGTCCTTGTCGTGGTTACTTTACCTGAGCACAACCAGCCTGGCCAAGCAGCCTTTCCGTGTGGTTTTTAGAGCACTGCCTGCTTTACAGTGCCAGACTGCTGAGCTGGAAGCTGCAAGAGGAAAAGGTGCAGCTGTAGGGGATGAAATCAGATCCTCTGGGCAGATTGCTTTCCCCACCTGCTCCTTTTGTGCTCCTCTTTTCCCTGTTTTCTGCTATGAGGCTCCAGAGATTTCCTGATAGTTTTTGCTGCAGCTTTTTGTAACCAGCGGGACATGCTCTCCTTGGCAGGACTGGGGGCCCTTCCCTGTCTCTGTGCTGTGGAATCAGAAGGTGCCTCTTATCCCATTAGTTATCCTCAGACAGCTTTTCCTCCTTGGAGAGATGAATATCGTAGCTGATTATGGGATGGAGGTAGGAACAGCTGCCACGGTCACCGGGAGCTCAGGCTCTGCTCCTGCAGACAGAGGTTATTGCTGGTGATAAATACAGGGTACAAAGTGCAGTGTGTGCTGGGAAAAGGATGGAATTCCTCTATCTCTCTTAATTCCCATCTCACAAATGCATGTTGTCACCTTCTGTTTAAATATTTCCACGTAGCTCTATGCTTTTTGTGGCAGTGAGGGCATTTGCAGTGCAGGAGGAAAAATATTTAAATACTATATCATGTAAATGTAGCATTGCCAAAACCTGCACATTTATGGTTTGGGACCTGTCCTGGAAAGTGTACCCATATTCCACATAGGAATGTCAAGCAGCTCTCCCTTTCACATCGTGTAAGTGCTGGTGTATAAAAGGAAAATGTAAAAGATTTTATGTTTTTTTAGAGTTCCCAAGGAGTTAAAGTTTGGTTTTGGCTTGGGTTCTGCATGGATTGGAGTTAGTCCTGACACGACCAGCTGGTACCTCCCATTGTGGAGAAAGGACTCTCTGAGCTATTTTTGTGACACCAAAGAACAAGAATGATCCTAAAGCCTGAAATAAGGTTTCCACTAGGATTGGAGAATTACTGTAGCTCAGAAGAAAAGGAATTCAAATTTGATGCCAGACAAGCCTTCTGGCAGCTCACTGAGTGATGTGGACTGGAGGGAGAGGAGGAAAGGGAGCAAACCTGCCTTCTCCATTAAATAAAAACCTGTCTCTGCACCTTTTTCCCCCTTGGAAGAGCAGTGGATACCTGGGGTGCCATCCCTCCTGCAGTACCTTTGGGAGCCTCTGCACCATCCCACCCCAAAGCTGGGAGCATCCAGGTGTTGAGAGCCACTGCTCCTGCAGTACTTCACTGCTTCTCTTTAAAATGTGCTTCGGATTTTTGACATGAGAATTACAACAGTAACAGTAGGAAAGAACTGAAATAGTTCTGGAATAAAATTACCATCAGCAGCAGCTGGATGGGCCAATTAAACTCTAACATTTCACAGGTGTTGTCAGGAAATGCATATCATCTCCTCAGACAAATTAGCTTCCTTCTGAATTCCTGGGACTTTCATCCAAAAGCACGTTTTTAAGCCTTGAAATTAGAAGATACAAAAGCCTCTGAAATGCAAACACATCGAGCATCTGATGTGCCGTGACACCGAGCCCCAAACCCCGGGTTATCTTAGCCCTTTATTTCCTCCTCCAGCCCTGCCACCTACACAGCTAAGTCAGATGTTAAATCACCCAGGAACAGCAGGAAAAATAAGGATTGTCTGCATGGAAATGCTCTTGGATTCAGGATGGAGATGTCTGAAGTGCACAGTGTTGCTCCTTTTGAGCAGGGACAGCCAGACTCACATCATACCCTATATATATGTGGGTAGGTTATCATTGTAGAGGGAGCCTTGTGATTTTTCCAGGTAAAAGTCCTGATTTTTAGGTGGTTGGAGCTTGCAGTGAGGTTGTCAGAGGCCAGAGTGCAGGGCTGTGGGTAGCAGTGGCTGGAGCTGATGTCCTGCAGCCCCAGGCAGCTGTAGTTTCTGTCCCAGTGTGGGGTTATGTCACCCTGGGATTAGAGCTCTCCAGTCCCAGCCCAAGGCAAAGAAATGGGAACAATAAAAAGTGTGAGTGAAGAGAAGGGGAAAAAAGCGCCATTTTTCCTCCCTCCCATTCCTGCCTCCTTCTCTGTCAGGTGAATATTCTGTGATTCTTCAGGGAAGCCTCCAGCTGAAAGCCAAGATCTTCCAAGGTGGGACAGCTGCCTGAACCTGGTCAGGCTTTCATGGGAAGCTTCCAAAGCTCTCCCTCTCACCCATCTGCAGTCTTCATTGCAGAAGGTGGGAATACTCTTCTGGGAAAAGATCTCAAGAAGTGCTGTCATGAGCTGCTGCTCCCAAACGTTCCCACCCAGCCTTGTCCTCGGAGACCTCTGGGCAGTCGCTGCTCTTGCCTTGGCTGAAGCTCCACCAGCAAATATTTAGCACAGGGTCTTGAGAAAATTTAGGCAAGATTGCAAAGTTTTGGGAAGTCACAGTCAGGAGAACAGAGAGGATTTTCCATGATAACTGTGCCAGACACTTCCAACCCTTCGGGACTGCAGTGCCAACGTGCAGAGGGCTAAGGAACAGCATTCCCTGTAATTCCTGTTAGTATGGTATGGAAATGCTGGAATGTATGCACAGACTCATGGATTTCCTGCCATGTGTGCTGGCCAGGACATGACTATGGGGGGAGTATTTGTATTTCTAATAAATGCATTTAGTTTTGATGACTGAGGCCGTGCAGCAGCCGCTCTTTATAGAATCTTTATAGCAGCAACACTTATTTGCAGTTAATGCATTGGAAGGAAGGTGATGTCACCTGCTGTTGCATCAGAACAAGTAATATTCAGGTCAGCAGGGAAAGGCAGACTTGATGTAAGCCTCATACTGAGTATTTTCAGCTTTTAACTGAAAAGTTAAAGAAAAAAGGGGGTTTTGGCATCATCTTTGCAAATCAGGGGGTCAGAGAGCTGCACAGCAATTACAGGCCACCACCAGCACCTGAATATCTCTGCAGACTCCTGTTATCCCATCTCTGTATCCCTTGTGCTGTCTCGATCCTGTATTTGTGGGATTCATCTGGTCTGACCCAGCACTGCTCCTCCCTTGGCCAAGGGCCAGGAAGCTCCACACTGTTGAGATTTAAACTGCAATCATCAATTAGCTGATAATCACTATTGGGGAAATTATATGTGCAGGGTTTAAGGCAGTACAGTGACTAGAAATGTAGCCATTTATCACGAGTGTAATGGCCTTTTTATGTGCACAAATTTTTAAACACAATTTCATAAAGAGGCTGCCACGCTCCGTGATTTACTGGGGCAGTAAAAATAAAGAAATTGCCCGAAGAGTAGATGATCTCTGCACATCGAAATCCTTGGAGTTAATAGAAACCTCTATTAACTCCAGTGCTTTTAAAACTTTTCCTAGTGGCTGTTTGTTCCACATTTCATTTTCTAGAAGGTGCTGAACCTCCCTTGTTATTGCTTTCCTTATTTCACGAGTTACCTGCAAAAATCCTGAATATTCAAAAGCGAAAAGCAGCAGAGCCATGAAGAGATTTTAATCTTTGGCAGATGGTGTGGAGAGCTGGTTCAGATTCTCCTCTGGCAGTAAATGGGAAAAGAGCCCCCACTCCACGGCTGTTAGGAACAGGCCATGTTTAAAATGAATGGATTAATTGGGCAAGTAATGATGTATAGAACAGCTCTGTGCTGGCACGGGAACACTTGTGAATTTACTGCAGAAATTCAACCAAGCCTTAGCATCTCTTTTATGTTCACAGGGGTGATGGGAGAGTATGAGCCAAAAATAGAAGTGCAGTTCCCAGAAACGGTTCCATCTGCCAAAGGAACAACGGTGAAACTGGAGTGCTTTGCCTTGGGGAAGTAAGTTTGATCCATTATTATTATTATTATTCCTCCAGCTTCTCACTCTCGTAGCCCTGTGTTGTGGAGTTCGCAGCAGTTCCTAATGATTCACTTCCCTCAGCAGGAGTTACTTACTGCCAGTTTTCATATCCCACAGAGGGCTTTGGGAGCAGCAGCTCAGCTCACCAAAAATATAAATTCTCGAGGAAGAGAGATGGAACTTAATCTGGAAAGATGTCTTTGGGCATCTCCTGTGTTGAGGTCTCATATAACACTTCAAAAACATCTTGGGTTTCATGAGTAAACACTGACAACACTTTCAAAATGTTTGGACTGTGAGGAAAATGATCATAGAATCATGGAATGGGTTGGGTTGGAAGGGGTTTTAAGGATCATCCCATTCCACCCCCTGCCATGGGCAGGGACACCTTCCACTAGCCCAGGTTGCTCCAAGCCCTGTCCAGCCTGGCCTTGGACACTTCCAGGGATGGGGCAGCCACAGCTTCCCTGGGCAACCTGTGCCAGGGCCTCACCACCCTAAAATGACTGTATTGTCACAGCAGAACTGCATCAAAAGCAGCATTTTAATAATATAAAATCTCCTGGTTTTAAGGCTCTGTGAGCAATACTTTATTGGTAAATGTATCTATATTTATGTTATATATAACCTAGCCATAATAAAATAGTCCCAAGTCCTGTGCCAGAGCCTTCACACTGGCCACAGCTTCATCATCCTCAAACGTGAGACAGAGTTAAGTTGACAGGAGCTTTTCCTTCAAGCTTTATTTTGCTTTATTTTCCTTATTTAGCCCAGTTCCTACAATCAGCTGGAGGAGGGCAGATGGGAAACAGATCCCCAGGAAGGCCAGGAGGCACAGATCGAGCGGACTCCTCGAAATCCCAAATTTTCAGCAGGAAGACGCTGGACTCTACGAATGTGTGGCTGAAAACGTGAGAGGGAAGAACGTGGCACGAGGACAGCTGACATTTTATGGTGAGCAGGCTGCTTGCTTTCAGGGGGGTCATTGCATCCAGTAAATGTTTTGTGAGGATGTAATTCTGTGAGGGGATTTTTTAAAAGGCCTTCCTTTTCAAATGGCACATCTCGAGAAGGGTGTAATTTGAAATAAAACCTGTCTAAATGGTGCATATTAATTGAGAGTCAGAGCAGTTGGAAGGAAAACATAAAATACTGGGAGGACATTGGCATGGTAACAGGCTGAAAACACTTGGAAAAGGCTCATTTGCCTTCTCCTGGCTGGGAGGGGAAGGCAGGTATTCTGTGGGAGCATCCTCGTGGTTACAGCTTGGGATTTATTATGGATGTGTTACCCCAGCTTGTGTGAATAAATGTTAATTGCTTATAACCAATTAAGGACTCCTTTCAAGAGGGATCACTGATTGCACAGCCTGGAGAGATGGGATTTAACCCTGTCAGAGCCACCAGAGCCTTCTCCACTCAAAGGCTTTTTACACCTGCTCTTCTCTCCCTGAAATCAGAGGTTTTGAGCCAAGCATAGTAAAAATGTGCAATATCAGCTTCATAGGCCCCTGTGTTAAGTACAAGATGAATTGGTACCACTGATCCTGCTGCAAGTGTCTGTCCATCCCCAAATTCCTGCTGGAAACAGCCCCATCTTGCAAAGCAAATGAAAGGTGTGGATTTACCTGTGTAGAGGTGAGTGAGAGTCCCAGGGAGGGGGGTTAGAGGTCCCAGCGGGCTCTTGGTTTGATACCAAGTTTCTGTTTGAGATGTTTTGGAGGGGAGAAGCTGCAGGTTCAACCCTTACACACAGAGGTGTGCAGAGACCTCTCTGCCACGAGAAATAACCTGGTTTTGTTGCTGCCCTGTCTGATCTTCAGGAGCCCAATGGTGCTGTTCTTTATAGAACACGTGGACAGAAATTCAGTGTTTTCTTCCCAAATGCTCCTGAGGGTCCAGCTCCACTCAGCAGGGAAGGTTGAGTTGAACTCCAGGGATGAGAAGAATTTTTTTTCATTTATAGTAATTTTGCCACACTAAAAAGAAGAGTTTGGGAACGAATCCTCCTGCAAAGATGAACTGAATTTGGTGGGTAATGTAAATTTTTTTTTTAAAAAAGGTGTATATATGGATGTTTTCAAATTGGACGTATTTCTAAAAGACATTTAATTTAGAAATCAGAACTTTGGGGGCTTCCATTTCAAATGAACATTTCTCCTTTTAAAATTGAGTAAAATGGAAAACGAGAAAACATTGAAAAGGAGTTAAAGTGCAAGAACAAAACAAAAATCTTTCATGTTAAGGAGAGAATCTGGAGCTGAATTGAACTGGGTTTAATTTTTTTAATTAAATGATTTAAAGATTCCTTTTCCTGTTCATCAAACGATGTGTGTTTCTCCTGATTTTTCCCATGTGGAGAGTAAATTAAAAGACTCATCACTTGTACAATTTTGCTCAACCCACGGCCAAAGCTGCCTTGTAAAGCAGTAAAAGGAGCCTTTGGAATACTCCCACCATACATATATTAAGTTATAATCTCATTACTGTAATGAATTTCCCAGCCTGGATCCCGTTGCTGGAGGGCTGAGGATCCCACACAAAAGCTGCCACTGTGGCTCGTGCTGCTTTTCACACCCAAGATGCCATTTCAGCAAAGAGGCTCAGGATTTTTTGGGAAGAGGAGTGTCCTCCTCCCTCTGGGATGGTGAGATGTCCCTACATCTGTTCCATGGGAGCAGAGGAGTTCCCAATGGAGAGGTGGCAGCCGGTTGTCTCCATTGGTTACTGGTTTTAAAGATAAATAATTGACAAAAATATCATCCTTGTTGTCTTGAGGATGATGATTTTCCAGTTAAGTACTTCTCTTTCAAGACTAAGTGGTGCTTGGCAACCTATTAGACTGAAAACAGATCTCCTAAAGCAAAAAAACAACTTGCATTCTGTACTCTGGGCTCTGGAGTTCCACATGGCAGCAAAATTTTCTAAGGAGAAAGTAACTTACTGTGAACTTTTTATAGGAATAGTTGAAAAAAGAACATTGTTTTCCCTTAATAAGCTTTTCTTTTTAGATCTGAAAAGTGTAATTTGGTTATTGAAATGCAGCTGTGGTGTTGGCAGAGCTTTCAGGTTGCTTTTGGAGGCTTGGGGTTGATGCCTGGAGTGGGGAAAGCTCTGGAGATGCTGAAAGAGAGCAGGTTTAGGTTGGATGTTGGGAAGAAATTCTTTACAATGAGGCCCTGGCACAGGTTGCCCAGAGAAGCTGTGGCTGCCCCTGGATCCCTGGAAGTGTCCAAGGCCAGGTTGGACGGGGCTTGGAGCAACCTGGGCTGGTGGAAGGTGTCCCTGCCCATGGCTGGGGGTGGGACTGGATGGGCTTTAAGGTCCTCCCAACCCAAACCATTCCATAATTCCATGCAGTTTGGGCAGTCCCAAGTGCCCCCCACGCTCAGTGACGTGCTCTGTCATGACCTGTGTCCCAAAGATCACAGTCTGGCTCTAACAGCACCTCAAACCCAGTTATCAGCCTTTTTGCATTGTATAAAACAAGAAAAATAGAAGAAAAAGTAATTCAGATTTACCTGCTCACTGTAGATAACCCAGCACTGTCAGCTCTTCCCATGCTCCTGGAAGTTGTCAGGGAAGGTTGACTTTTGCTGTATTTCATTCTTGTATCAATGTTTATTTTCTCCTCTGGTAGCATATCAGTGACACTGAAGTTGTTTGACATCCTTGTTGCAGCAGAAAAGGCTAATTAAACATGTGAGATCCGTTCTTCCTCCATTTTCTGTGCTTTGGGCCCCTGCAACAGGCTGTGTTTTATTGCTCTCCAGGAACATTTGTTCCAAGTGCTGCATGTCCCACTTGATGGATAGACCTTCACAATGGCAACATGTTCCTGTTAATGCAATTACAGTCACTTATCCCTGTTTCCTTGACTGATGTGACTCTGAACAACACATCACTTGTTTCCTTGCTGTGCCTCTTGTTCTCTTTCCTATTCCTAACCAGATACCACGTGCCTCAAGTTAATTCCTGAGCGAGGCACGTGGTGTAAATCTCGGGGTGTCCTGTGCGAGGCCAGGAGTTGGACTTGACGATCCTCATGGGTCCTTCCCAACTCAGGATGCTCTGTGATTCTGAATTAACAAATCAAGCTGCAAAATCTCTTCTCTTCCATCCTTTAGCAGCCAGAAATGCACATCCTGCTGCCTTCCTGACTTTGCTTGTTCCATGCAGACCCCGTGCCAGGTAAATCCCTGTGGCTGAGGCAGGTGAGGTGCCCGGTGTCACCACGGCCACGGCACGGGCTGAACCACTGCCTGTGCTCCCAGTGCCTGTTTTCCCACTGAACTCTCCGCTCTCTCTATGTGTTTTGATCCACAGCATTTGGGAAGCACTCCCATTGACCTGATTCTATTTTTAATCTGGCTGCTCATAAATTTTAAATTTGATAACCCTCCACGAGGCTCCGATTTATCCCCCGAGCAGAAAGCAGTGCCAACAGTTGTTTGGTTCTTGGCAGAAGTGCAGTAAACAGATTACCTTAACCAGCTAATTTAAAAAGAAATTACCTTCTCCTTCATAAAAACCAGCGGCAAGGAGATGCTTATTTATTATTGACCTTGTTTCATTCATGGGAAATTTAGATGCTGTTTCAGTCTGATCTTCCAACAGTTGCATCCTAGAGATTGTCCTAAGTGCAGGATAAAGAGGCAACGGGCAGTCTGAGTTCATAAGGTGTTGGTTTGGCTGCTCATCCCTGTGCTCAAAGCCTTTCCTACAACTGATGAGAGCCTCACTGCTCCTCTGCCCCTTCTGGGCATCCATCTTTTCTCCCAGGTAACGAGTGATAGGACAAAAGCAAACAGCTTCAGGGTTGGATATTAGGAAAAACTTCTTCACTGAAGTGGTTAAGCATTGGAACAGGGTGCCCAGGACTGTGGGGGAGTCCCCATCCCTGGAGGGATTTAGAAGCTGTGTAGATGTGGCACTTGGGGACATGGGTTAGTGGTGGCCTGGCAGTGCTGAGTTTGTGGTTGGACTCAATGATATTAGAGAGCTTTTCCAACCTTTATGATTCTGCAGGTTTGCTGATGTGCCTTGGCCAGGTTCTCCCTGCTGACCAGCACCCAAAGTCTCTGTGCCACCACAAGGACACTGCTCTCCTGGACTCTTTTAAAATATGAGCATATTTTTTTATGCAAAGTATGAAACAAGATGGTTGTGCAGGTGTTTAAACCCCTGAGCTCTGCTTCCCTGGATTGACTCTGATGAGTCAATGCAACATCTTCATGTCCCCCTTCCCAACAAAATGCACAGGCTGAATAATGGAAAGAAAAGGAAAAACAGCTGCTGGTTGAGGTGATCCAAATATAAACAGTGGGACTGGGAGTGACAGCACTGGGAGGGGTGGGGACAGGCACTGCAGGGCAGGCTGAGGAGCTGCACCACCACCAGGAATGTTTGTCTGCCAGAATTTTGGCCAAAACCATGCAATTTGTCACTGGCTTTCCAGTCAGATCAGCACTGGAAAATATCCAAGTGGTACTTGGCTCAGATTCAGCCAGCACAGGTGTGGGTGCTGACTCAGCATCATCTCTGTAGCTCCAGGGTGCTCCAGCATCTCTCTCCTGAGCTCCTCCACTCCTCCTTGGAGAGCCAAGGCAAGGAGGGGAAAAAATGCAGTCAGAATGGTTTCCAAAAGTGCCAGTGCAGCAGCATCTGCATTAGGACAGACAGACTTATTTGTCACTAATTACAGTTCTTTGCAGCATTGTGTAAGATATTCAGCACAAGCCATTTAATTGGCTGGACCGCTTTTCACATTAAATACTTCTCAAATCAAAGTCCCACCAGGAATTTATGCAGCTCCTTAATTTTGCAGTGAAAAAAGTCCTCTTTTCATCAGCAAGCCTGTTTTATTTGTGTGAGAGCTGCTTTATGCCACTCCATAAAACAACCTCCAATGTAAATCATATTATGCTCTTCATTATGGTTAGAGGTCTAAAAAGGAAATTTGCATAAGTGAAAATCAGGCAGTTTTATATCTCAGCTCAGTTTAGGTCCCAAATCACAAATAATTTACTGAAAATTCAAAGCCACTTTAAATAAAACGAGTTTCTGGACTGATAAAAATACAAGAAAATTCACATAAATAGGGCAAGTGTATATTATGATTAATTATCATTTACATCACTCCCTAACAAACCCTGTTGCTGCCTGTTACAGAGGTTCCTGTTAGTGCAGGAGGGAATAACTCTTCAGTTTTGAATTATTTGCTGCCCATGGGAAGTCTTGCATCCAGAAAAAGTCTTTGCACAGAGAACAGGTGTATTTCTCCTCCATTTTTCCTTTTCCAAAGGATTGATGGAAACCTACTTACAGAGAAATCCAATTTTTAGGAGATTTAGAAAAAGTGCTCAAATTATTATCATTGTGGCTTGGAAAAATAGCTCCAGAGCAGGAGAAGCAAAAATACAAATAGATATGAGAAATGAAGTGTAGAGCACCCTACACCTTCCTTACACCCCTGAGTAGCTGCAGTGTGGAGTATCAGGGATGAAAAATAACTAAATCTCTGAGGACTGGTCTTAATGAACTGTCCACAGTCATTTGGTGCCTGGGATAAGTGGGGAGAAAGTCATGTAGTGGTACAGAACAGCTCATGGAACAAGAAGTAAATGAGAGGTAAGGACAATTTATTTCTTTTTTATCAGCTAAGTTACTCCTTCGGATTTCTTCTGGTATTTAATATTTTAGTCCCAAGCAGAACTCCCAGACTGCTTCCCTATGGCCAGAGGCAGAAAGGAGACATCCTGCCCAAGTGGCAGGATCTGGAGATCTTTCCAAAGACACAGACAACTGGACATCCTTTGGGTGCAACATCCAAGCAGGTTGGTTTGGTGGAGGATTAGCACAGCTGGAAGTTGTACAGGTTTCAAATTATCCTTAATTAGCAGTAGAGGTCAGGATGAGGGGAAGAGAGAGGAGCAGTGATACTTGGAGGTCTGGTTTCACGTTGCTGTGATCGTTGGGAAGGATAACAAATCAGAGGCCTGAGGGGTTTGTGTCCAGGAGCTGCATCCCCATTTGGAGCAGTGCACGGTCTGCACAAACCTCACACCCTGGCTGCACTCTTTATTTCCAATTACTCCTCTGTTTTTCCCATCTGTTTTTCTTACTTCTCCTGCTTGACTCTCCGGGTCTTTAGACTTTTCTGATCCTAGGCTCAGCCTCAATCTCCTTAGAATAGATATAGTAATGGACAAGTCGTTCAGCCTTTCATGTGCCATTAATGATGAATTACACAGCCTGCACCAGGTCATCAGCTGCTAGAAATTGGCTTAGGAACACCGAGATCAATATACGCCGACCGAGAATTGGATTCTGTGTATGTATTAGCACCTCATTTGCTTGAGTCTTTTGGGTTGTTTTGAACTCACAGATGATTGCAAAGTCCTGCAGGTTGATTTCTGGGGGTTTTTTTCTCCTGTTGCTCCCATAGTTCTGTGGGTTTGTTACCCATTTCTGATGTGATGCATCATCGGTGGCCACCTTGTTTCATTTTTAAAATGTCTTTTAGGACATGATTTCTGGTCCAGGTTTCCAGTGCCTACTTCTGCCTTTCAGTTTATTATAATGAAGGACAGAGACCTTCTGGATTTTTTTGTCTTAGAGAAGGAAGATTATATTTGGGCATTTTTTCATAATCACCTGGTTTAAAATGCCCCACTTTGCACTGGTGAAGACTGGAAGGTGATCAAAGGTAAATGTTTGGGTTTTTTCTAACTGCTGCCATCATTTTTCTTCTATCCCCATGAGTACTAATTCCAGACAGCTCTCATCTCCTAGGACGGGGACATTTTCCTTCAAAGCTGTCCTTACATAAGAGTCGTGCTTCTCTCTAAGCTTTTTCTTTCACTTTATAGATTTAGCATATGAATTTTTCTTGCAACTCAGATGAAATCTTAATCAGCTTCCAGATTTTTCCTCCAGGATGTTTCCAAGGCCAGTAAATACTCCGAATAGGACCAAAATATTTCCAGACCCAAAGGAATTCAGGTCTGGTTGACGCCACTGAAATGATCCCAAGGATTTTTTTTCTCGACCGCTTCTACCAGTCACAAATTAAACCTTGTCATTACTTCAAATAATGTTGCTATATCAGAAGATGTTGTAGTAGTGTGGAGCTGCTTTCCTCCCCTTATTTGAATTATTTTAATTATCATGCTTGAAATCTTGTGCCGCATTTCCATGTCTTGGTACGGTCCCCAATGGGCAGCTGTCAAATTCCATTATATTGTGGCGACTCTCATTTGGTGGCTCAAACATATTTGCTGCTTGAACCAACCCTTGAGTATTCCCCAAGATTAAGTCAGGAGCATGGCTGCTCCTCTCTGCAAGGAACTCTTGAAAGGAGAGGTTGACCTAATTAGAAAAGTGTCCCAAAGAGCAGCAACAACGAGGCTCCCGCGAAACAAAGACTCCGATGCTTTTCACTGAGTTAATTTGTGACCTGTTCTGCTCCTTCTTTAGTTGTCTGCATAAAAAACGGCTTTGGGATTGAAATTCTATTCCATTAAAATAACTGGGGGGGGTGGAGGGTGGCGTGGGACGTGGAGGTTGTGGCTCGTGGGTGCTGTGCCAAGGGGTGACGGGAATTTTTGGGGTGGCATCTTCCAGCACTGCACGTTTCAATCTCAGCCCTGCCAGGGCAGGAGTTCGGATCAGAAACCTGCAAAGTGCCCCCAAAAATGCCTTTTGCTGCCTTGGGTGACAATTTCACTTATTTGGGGAGTCTGCCTGAAATGAGGGTAAATCCTGAATTTTCTTTCCTCCTCACACAGGACTTACCTTTCTTTTTACACTTATGTTATAGCACACACCTTACCTTCCATGGGTTTTCCTGATTCACAGGTGAATTCCAGTTGTTTTGTCTTAACTTTTTGTGCTTTCATATGGATAATTCGTAAAACAGCACTGCAAAAAAAAAAAAAAAAAAAGAGGCAAGTGGATCTGTGTAGGTTTTATAAAGCTCCTCTTACAGTATCATAAGATTCTCTTTAAAATTATGAGTTAGATGCTGTTAGAATAGTAAATATGTAAATTCAGGAGTAATTTGCAAATGTCCTTGAGCCACTGAACCCGTTGCAGTCGCTCAGCGTGTCTCGGCTCGATGGAATTGTTCAAGTTCTTTATCCACATGCCAGAATTGCCTTTCATCTTCCTACATTTAAAGGCTTCCCCTTTCATGTCTCTTTAGATACAGACAATAAACAAGCTTAAAATATTACAGGGGCAGGAGGGGCAGTCAGAGAAATAAACAGTGCTCGCCTCTCCTTTTAAGTACCTCTTTTGCTTGTGCCTTGCCCGTCCCTTGGAGTTCAGATGCTTTGCAAAACCCTCCAGCTTTTTCTGGGCTTCGTAGGTACCGTGAGAAGGTGAAAGGTGTGGGATTAAACAAGTCTGTCCCAGCCTCAGCACAGTTCTCAAAGACATTCAGCTCTCTGAATGTGAATTTCCATCATTACATCATCGCAGACAAACCAGTATTATGGATATAATCACACCAACTTACCACTTGGATATGATATTTTTTCATTTATCCTTGCAGACACATCTCTGGCCCCGGTCTCTATCCAAAGTTGTTACCTTTCTTTGACTAATCTTAATTTTTCCTTTTATCTGATTACATGGGGAAAAGTATTAATCAGGTTCTTGGGGACCTCTACTGGTAATACCTTCCTGCTAAGTCAGGTTTTCTGGTGTCAGAACAGGACAAGTGGTCATTAAAGAAATCTGAACTCACTCTATCTTTTAATGGGACTTTGTGAAAACTGTTGTAGGTCTGTCTAGAAAAATGGGGCTTATGGAGGTAACATGAGAAACTCTGAGGTTTTTTTATGGTCTCCGAAAACATGTGGTAATTTTAGTGGGCTTTGATTTACATGTGGAGCCTGGCTAAATTTAGACTCTATTAAAAAAAAAAAGCCAACAATAACAGTGATAAAAATATGTAAAACTCAATTAAAAATATAATCTCACGAGTGTCTGAAAACTGCAAGTGACAGCTTTCACCACATTTTACCAAAATGTGCCTCCAGTACCTGCTTTTTTAATTTGTAGGTTTGTTCCATGTCATTAATTCAGCTGTTGGGTCCAAAGATTTCTCATACACGTGGAAGATGTTCCATGTGGATATGGCCCTAATCTAAGACAAGACTCAGAGCTTGGACCTGACATAGTCCTTGTAACCACATAGGCCAGGGTTACTGGAATAACCTTAATTTCAGTGCAGAGATAGTTCTAAATTACAAGTTTTGAAGCCTAATTCGTATAGGTCCTGAAGAGGAAAATGTCTTTATTTGAAGGACCAGGGATGTACAAGTGTCATTTATTCCACTGGGGCAGCAGATGAGCTGTTGCTTTGGTTTTGTATAATGATCAGGATTTCTGAATTTTTTTTTTTCATTAAGAGTTTTTACTAAAAATAAAATGAAAGTGGGTTCTGATCTTGCCACCTTCAGAAAGCAGAATTGGACACAGAAAAACACTGTAGCAATTATTAATCACATTATTAAATCCAACATTTAAATGTGCAGGTGAAGAAAGAAATGGCCATTTGCACCCACAGGGCACAGTGTTGGCTCCAAACACAAGGTTTTGTGCTTCTGCTTTGCAGCTCAGCCCAGCTGGATCCAGGAGATCAGTGATGTCCACGCAGCCATAGAGGAACGTGTGTCCTGGGAATGCCGGGCCGGCGGGAGACCCAAGCCCTCGTACCGCTGGCTGAAGGATGGGGAGCCTCTGCTGGCCCAGGTGGGCACCACCAGAGCCCTTCCCTGGGCTCACAGAGTCACAGCTCGGCAGGTTCACCCTCTGATCTCTGGGGTGTTTATTCGTTTTGGGATGAATTGATCTCTGGGTGTTCATTCATTTTGGGGGGGCTCTACAATCACAGAGTGGGTTAGGTTGGAAGGGACCCTCAAGATCATCCAGTGCCACCCCCTGCCCTGGGCAGGGACACCTTCCACTAGCCCAGGTTGCTCCAAGCCCCGTCCAACCTGGCCTTGGACACTTCCAGGGATCCAGGGGCAGCCACAGCTTCTCTGGGCAACCTGTACCAGGGCCTCCCCACCCTCCCAGTAAATCCCCACTCTGGTGAGCAGCTCCAGGAGAGCTGCTGTCAGTGCTGAGTGGGACACACAGCAGCAGAGCTCCTCCCCAAAATGAAGGGTCCAAGGTACAAACTTAAGGGTGGACAGACCCCTGTGAAGCAGAAGGAATGGCTGAATGGGACTGTGGGCCCTCTTGCTAGAAAATGGTCACCCCGGATTGGTGTTTTTAATCTATGATGTTCAGGTGAACTTCACGTGATGATGAAACCTTGGTGTTGCTGCTGGTTTCCAGTGGTGTTCCCACTCCTCCTGCTGAGCTGTGTCCCTGGGCAGGAGCTGTGGAGATGCACCCCCTGCCCAGCTTCAGTCCATGATCCCCCACTATAACCACAAACTAAACCAAGTCCCCACAGCTTTGGTTTCACAGCAGTTCACACTTTTTCCCCTTCACTTACCATGAAAGAACATGGCAGACCAGATTTGATCAAACCCCAACACAGATTGCACAAACATTAAATTTCTGCCCTGCAGCCACGCAGAAAACCAATAGCTCTTTATTTTAATTTTTTTTTTTTAAATGTCAGAACTCCCAGGGAGGGAGGGAACACTTTGCTGTACTTATCAGAATTGATAACATGAGCTCCATATCCTTAGGCTGACAAATGGTAGCCTGGTCTTTTTTGCCACACACTAATTTTACTTGCTTCATGCTGGTCACTGGCAGATGCTCTTGTACTTTAATCATGTTAGAGGCTGATATGAACTAAAGGATCATCACATCATTAACATCTCCATTGTTTTCAGTAAATTTCAGAGGATTTTAAGTATTTCTCTCTGTGCTGGCTAAGATGGCAACCAGTCTTACCAGCCTTCATTGCTGTATATGCTCAAAATGGCCTCAGGTTGTGCCAGGGGAGGGTCAGGTTGGACATCAGGAGGAATTTCTCCCTGGAAAGGGTGGTCAGGCACTGGAAGGGGCTGCCCAGGGAGGTGTCCAAGGAAGGCCTGGCCGTGGCACTCAGTGCTCTGGGCTGGGGGACAGGGTGGTGTTTGGTCAAAGGTTGGGCTCAGTGATCTTGGAGGTCTTTTCCAACCTCAGTGATTCTGTGCTTCTATGAAAATACCATTGTTTTAAATGTTTTTGAGCACTGGGTCTGGCTGTGATGTGCCACTGTGGAACGAAATGCATTTTTCACTTCAAGCTTATCTACTTGAAAGGGATATTAATCTAAATGGTTTGGGTATTAAATCAATGAGAGGTCAAGGGAAAGTCCTCCAATTTAAATTGCATTTACCAACTACTATATTGGTTTTACCATTTAGTCTCTAACCTGACATAAATTTGGCTGGCAGACAAATAGATTGGAACATGCAAATTCTCCCTATTACTGCTACATATTTTTGCCCACCTTGGTGTAAAATCTAGCACAACAACCTCTGGCTTTATGGTCCAAGTAAGGATCTCCTTGTTTACTCTTCAGTCTGCTGTCCTGTTCCCCACAGGGCAGAGTTCAGCTGGAGCAGGGCTCCCTCACCATCACCAACGTCAGCCTGTCGGATGCTGGGATGTATCAGTGTGTGGCAGAGAACAGACATGGCACCATTTTCACCAGTGCAGAGCTGAGTGTCATAGGTAAGTTTGCTTTCCTGAGCCCTGCAAACCTCCCAAACCAGAAAGATCTTCACCAAGCAGGTTTTGCCAGGTTTCAGTATCTGAAGCAGAAGTGCTGCTGGGGATCTTTGGCAAGTTGTTGTGTTTGAGGAAGGCATGAAATGAAAACTGGAGAAAGTGGGTAGATAGAGAACAGATTTTTTTACATCATCCCATACTCTCATATTCCTCCAGGTGACAGAGCATGGAGAGCTGGCAAGTGCATTCAGCCTCTTGCTGGTTAGAAATGTTTATGGAGAAACCAAAGTGTTCAGAGTGGGCTGCAGAGGTGACTCTGCTGAGTAGATGCTGACAAACCTCTCCTGTCTGAATAGACCTTTCACCATTCCAATGGCAACCAAAATGCTCTCCTCCCAAACCTTCCCCAAGAAAAGAGCTTCTGCCCCACCTGTTTTGTGAACAACTGCTCTGCTCCTCCCAGTTAACATCAGGAGAATCGTGTGAATCCAAGTAGCGAAATCCTGCTGGGAGGGAGTAGAGATTCCAGAGCCAGGATCTTCTCAGGGGTGCCCAGTGCCAAGAGAAGGCCCAGTGCCACCATCTGAAACAGGAAATGCCACTTAAACATGGGAAAAGCTTTGCTATGAGGTTGGTTAAACACTAGAACAGGTTGTCCAGAGTCATTCTGGCATCTCTATCCCTGGACATACTCAACATCCAACTGGTCATGGCCCTGGGCAACCTGCTGTAGCTGCTCCTGGTGGAGCAGGGGTGGGATGGGACCATCCCAGAGCTCCCTGCCAGCCCTGGGTGTCCTGCCAGCCTGTAACTCATTCACAAATGTTGTTCATGTACGGGTGGCAGGCCTGGAAAACGCTGTGGCAGCACAGAGATGTAGTTTCAAAGGGTTAAATAGAATTCCTGATGACAAAACAGTGTTGTTTTCAAACCACATGTTCGATAGCAGCAGTCCCTGTTTTATCCTGAAGAACAAAGCACGGGGGTTTTTTTCCCCAGTGTGGCATTTTCAATTATTGGTCATTTTTTATCATCAGTGATAGATGCCTGAGTAGAAAAAAATTCATTTGAAGGATTGGCTGTGTTGCTGTTTGAGAAAAGGACGATAATGCTCAATAAATTAGACATCACAATGCTGAGATTTATTGGACGTGTTAGTGCATGAAAGAAATCGAAATAAACCCACTGATGCTTTTCCTGTCTATTTAAAAGCTGGTAAAAAGGAGGTTTGGGAGGGAGGGAGATGTTCTCAGGAGAGGTTTAGCCCTTGTTGTACCTCGTGTCCATAAGAAAAGCAAAGATCTTGAAGACCTTGAGCTTAGAAACCTGTCAGAGAACTTTTACCTGGACAATTTCTCACTGGGGTTATGCACTCTTGCTTCTGTATGTCACACAAAAAGCACCCAAAAGTTGTGCTGCAGATAAATTTCTGTGGATGTGTGGTTTAACTTGGCATGTTTTGAAAGACAAGCAGCATGTTTGCCTTTTCTCTAGAGCTTTCAAAGGAGGGCAACATTCTGAGCCCTCCCTGAGAAATTTTAGCTTTTAGACAGATCTGAGTGTTCAAATGGTTATTTTAAAAGGTCCTAAAGTTAAGCACTTGAGATGATGAAAGATCACTAATAGCAAGCGAGACTTACAGCTAAATTAAGTGAAAAAAGAGAAATGGAAAATTACAGAGCTTTTCTCAGAGTGATTCTTCTCATTTATTGTTGCCAGTTATATTGCCTGCAGTCCTTAAATAAAAGCAGAATCCTGTTGTGCTGGGCATTGTGAAGTACATATGGCAAGGTGCAGTCAATGTCTTTCAGAATTTTCAGGCTAAATATTTAAAAATAATAAATCAACAGGGTGGGCCTACAGTCAAAAAAAGAAATCATTAAAATCCTCAATTCCGAAAGAAAGTGTGAAGAAATTAAAAGCATTTAAGTGGCAGAGGGAAGCTGTGGTAGTGTCGAGAAGTGAGCCCAGAGTTTCTAAATGTCAGATGACAACGTTTTGAACGTCACAAAATAAACCCCATATTGAGCAACTCCTCTGTCTCACACAGGACCGAGAAAAAAATAGCAAATGACTCACAAAGAAACCCAGACTAAACTGTTCATCACAGAGATGGAAACAACAGGATTATTCAAAAATCTGTTTTGCTCGTAAATTTGGAAGAATCATCTGAGAAATTAGTTCCAGAAGTGATAATGTATTAATAATGGCACATGATATAAATAATAATCCGTCTGGTTCCGAGCGCATCGGTGGGACGCTGCCCTCAGGATGCCTCCTTTAATTCTGAAGTGTTTTACAAACCCACTGCTGTTTTCAGGTGACTCTTCTATAGTCTTTAATACCACACCTGTCTTCCTCTGTGCCAAAGTGAGGTCAGCTGTCTGTGATTTGACGTGGAAGACAAGGCAGCTCAGAGATGAGTGAACTCGGATTCATAAAAGCGGGTATGAGCACTATTGGATCATAAAGCCCGTCCCATTATCAGTGTAGGATTGGGCTTTATTCAACTCCTTGGCAGCAGGAACGATATCCAAAAGGATCGAGGCAGATGAGATGCCCTGAGAACAGTGAATTTGCTGGGGTTTGTCTCCCAGCTGCTGCAGGTGAACTTCAGATCTTGTCTTGGAGCATCGAGAAGGTGCAAAGCGCAGTGATCTAAACTCTCATCTCACAGGGTGCAGCAAAAGAGCAAGTCAAGGATAACATTGGGAGGGATCCAGGGATGGAGCAGGAGGTGCAGGCTGCAGGCATGGAGCTGTCAGAGAGGATGGAGAGAGCTAGAGGGGACTGGGCAGGGATCGCTGCCACTGATCCGTCACAAAGCCGAGCTCCCGACAGTAAAACACAGCGAGCAGGGCAAGAGTTGTTCATAAAACCCCTGAAGCCACCTCACCTGTTTGCTTTGAGCTTTCTGTATTGAAAAAATTAATTGTCCTCCTTGATATAAATAAAACCTTCTGGTCATCTTTGGGGATTTCACTGCCTGAGTCAGTCTGGAGGCAGCTGCCTCAGAGCTCTGCCTGTCATCGGGTCCCATCAAATATGTCATTAAAAAGCCTTTGAGGCAGGATCAGAAGCCAAGGCACCTCCTTGCTCCCTGTCCTGCCTCCCAGCCAGAGTGCAGATTGTCTGCAGGGCTTTGAGGGTTGGTTCAATGGGTATCTGACTGTTTTTCACCAAACAAAAGTGTGCCCTGCAGGGAGTAAAAGAGGTGACTTGAGAATACCTTGTGCCCTGGCACCAACAAGTCTTGCCTTGTTTTGCTTGGTTCAGGACCTGGCTGTGCCAAGGTCTCCCACCTTTACAAAATTAAAATAAATAACCCAATTTATGCAACAATTATGAATAGAAAGCATAAAAATGTCAACTTTTCTGGAAATGTTAACATTTCTGATTATTTGTGGGGGTTCCGTGTTTGTGCCAATTTTCCTGCGTACTGTTGCTTGACAAAAGGATGATCAGGACACAAAAAAGGAAATTCTCCATGCACCCCATGCATGTGTGGTTATTAGGGGTGCTCCCCTCAGTAAAATGTGCATGGTGGGGTTGCTGGTTTCTCAGGTTTTTAGCTAAACATACATTTTTAACCAAGACTTGAAGCTCTCAGGTGTTTGTTTGCCCCCATTGCACATGGTTCACAAAGTCCAATAATTTAGGAATTCTAAGTGAGAAACATCCCTGGAATATTGTAATGTTCCAAAGAGTCTGAATTTGGTTTTTCCAGAGGGAATTCTGATGTGGTTTGTGTTGTTTTTTTTCTTTCAGCCATCGGTCCAGATTTCTCCAAAACACTCCTGAAAAAGTTAACTCTCGTGAAAGTGGGTGGTGAAGTCATCATTGAGTGTAAGCCCAAAGCTTCTCCCAGACCTACTTATTCTTGGAAGAAAGGAAAAGACATCCTGAGAGAAAATGAGAGGTAATGTCTTAAAGTAACCATTTCTTTCATTAACTTGCTCCAACCCAGGGACTTTCAGCAACGAAAGCTGAATTTGTCATTAATAGCTTCACAAAATTGACTTGCAAATACGTGTGGAAACTGTTCAATCGCAAGGAGCTGGTGAGATTCCTATTCCCATTGTGCCCACCCCATCTCTGTGTGCTACTAAAGCATCCCTGCCAAGAAGCTGATAAAGATGCATTCCAAAAAAACAAAATATTTTGCCTCTGCATCGCTCTAAATAGCCATTGTTTAAAAAAAAAGATACCCAGGAGATAAAAGTCTCCACTGCACATTGCACAGCTCTGGTCCGTTACTCCCTGCCCTGCAAATAGGAATTATTTGGGGTCAGTAATTAATTTGGCAGTCCTAAAACCTGACTTGGAGATGGCTTTTGCAGACTGGCCAAGTAATTTTTTTCTTTCTTCCTTCAAAATTCAGAAGGAGAGCATTGGTAGGAAGTTGGAGCCAACCTTTCACGTCCTCATGTGGTGTCACAGTGATTTGTTGTTGGTGCAGAGGTGAAGTTGTGTTGCCTGTCCCATTTGTCCTGCCTGAGAGCAGGACACAGAGAGCTGTCCTTGGCACTCCTCCAAAATATGATGTGCCAGTAGGATTGGTAGGGAAAATCCTGGCCTAAAGGTCAAAAAGCCAGAAATTACAGGAAATTGTTATATTGAAAAGCTTAAATCTGTTAGGGCTCCTCTTTTATCTTGGAAGTCTAATCTTGCTCCACTCAACCACTCTGTACATTGGAATATATACTGTGGTGACGTGTATGAATGTGCAAAAAGCCACAGTTCGTTTTGAGCCAGATTATTGAAATATTGAACACCCTATTTCCGACTTATTTAGTTTCTTCCCCTGCTCTTTACAAAGCTGTTGTGTGTGGATTGTTCAGCTTCACCCCTGGGGATGAAAAGCGTTGGGTGATGGATGACACAAAGCTTCCTCAGGCAGGGCACAAAGCTGTGTGAGGTCAAAGCTATCACAGAGCAAGGCATATTGATTTTTAAAACTGAAATAACCTGCTTTTCTTGTGAAGATGGTGCAAAGAATGGGAGGTGTTCAGTGCTGAAGTGTTGGATCAGCCCCACGAGGTCCCATCTGTCCCCCCGTCCTCACTGGTGTGGTCTGGAGCAGAAGGAGCTGTGTTCTCAGAGTGTCCTCAGCATGGCACAGGTCTTGCTCCTCATGTGAATTTAGGAGTGGGAGTGCCCAGGCAGGGCTGGGAGGTGGGTTGTGGGTCCCCACCTCCTCTGAGCAGTGCAGTGTCAGCTCGGATGCAAACACAGCCAGGCTGAGGGGCAGGCACTCAGTGCCCACTCCTCCTGCTCCTGCTGTGCCAGAACCAGGAGCCTCCCACCTGGGCACCCAGCCCTGGATGGGAAACCAGATGTGAAACGTGCCCAAGCAGGTGTGAAATCTTCAGCTCCTTCAGCCCAGGGGGTTTTGTGGCAGCCAGATCATGCAGTGGGGACTCTCTGGCAAAGTGCCTCGGTGAGCAGCGCTCCGTCGCCTTGGCAGCTGGACCTGCTCGGCTCTCACACGCCGTTGGTTGTGTCTCCCGTGGGGAACAGGGCCTTGAATCCTTGCCACCACCTTTATCAGCCACACCATCCCTGCAGGCTGTACCTGGGGACTGTGTGAAGTGCACAATTATGAGATTAGGTTGTCTGATGTGACTGTGGTGTTAATCCTCAGCACCGTCTGGCTGCACGGGCACGAGGGGCCAAGGTCCTGTGCTCTGCTTCCTGCTGCTGTATTCCTGGTTTCTTTATTTTCTGAAATGTTACCTCCTTCCTGCTGTCCCTTGACTGGAGTCCTGCCCCAGTATCTCCTTATACCCATGCTGTGCATGGACTTTGAACAAGAACTTTCTTGGCTGTGGAAAAACTCCATTGAAATCTAGGAAGAAAGATGCCAGGAAAAGCTGTTGCTGAAATCTCTTCATCTAGGACAGGAAACAGAACTTTCAGACAGGTGTGGGAGAAGAAACTTAAATGAAATCTGTGCTTAAACTGACATTAAAGAATCCTTCGAGTTCCAGAGAGGCACCTGAACACCTGGATACTTCTCCAGGCTGAAGGTTGACCACGTGAAGGTTAATCAATATAGATGATCCTTCCAATTCCAGGGGGAGTTAAAAGCAATGTTACTGTGTCAGTCCTTGCTCTGAATTCTGATGTTCAGCCTCCCGGCTGCCATGGCAATCGCTCCACAGTTTCTCCTGGGGCTTTTTGTGACTTTTCAGCTGTTGTGTAACATTAAACTCCTTGCTGGAGACGCTGTGCATGGTTTTTGCTGCTGGGACTCTTGCTCTGGAGGCCACTGCTGCCCAGGAGGCAAAATGAAGTGTGGTGTTCAATGTTTACCTGGAGAGCGGAGACTACGATGGTTAAAAAAAAAAGAGCTTTATTGGTTTAGGTTTCATATTCTTCTCTGGAGGCTGAGGTGGTGTGTTCTGCACCTCTAATGAATAACATGGCCCGAAGGCATCTCTTGCTGGTGGTTGAGAACTGTGCAATTGTGTTATTAGAAATTCTGCCCTGGGGTACAATTATATTATTGCAGTCATTAAAGGCAGTTCATCTCCATAATAATGGAAATCCTGCCTTGGAGGCCTGGCTGAACCAAAATGATGTTAGTAGCCTGAGTCCAGAAGGTAAATTTTATATAGGAACAGCTATAGCACAGATATAGGATCTATTTATTGCAAATGCTGGTTGGAAACAAAGACTATTTGTGTGTGGGGAAGGGTACAGAGATCACTTTGTATCCTTGATCTTCCCTTCCCATTTCAGCACCAAACAGCTGGTACACTCTGGGAAAGTCATCAGTCCTGTTAGTGCCACTTTTACAGGTCAGCCTTGTAGGGCCACTGGGAGATCAGAAGCAGGTGGAGCAGGACAGAAACACACCCACCCATGGGAAAGCCTCACTCAAGAACAGGGGATGCCTTTTTGGGAGGAATGGTCACCTTAAAGCCGCTCAGGCTGCAGCATCAGAGAGACAGTAGGACACAAACAGTGTTTAGGACCTCCTTGTCCCAACACACTCCTCAGCAGGAGTTGCTTTCCCCTTTCATTAATCACTACACACATAACCTGGGAGTCTGAGCCAGTTGCAGCTCGTAGGGAGTCATTCCAGGAGCCAGCAAGCACCAAGAGCTCACAGTGGAAGTGGTGTCTTCTGGTCATTTCAAAACTGTGGTGTGTCTTTAGGTCGTGTCAGGTTGTTCATCAGAAAGATCTGGGGTGAGTTCAGAGTGTTTTTCACTCTCAGTTGTTTCTCCTGTATTCATATTTATTTCCACATGTATTTAACTTCCAATCACAATAGAAGAAAGTCGATTTTGGAGGGCTGGGATCTCATGGCCCAGGTTCTCTGGAAGTGATGCTGGACTTAAGCCCATGAGATCAAGATGAAAGTGTTACTGCCCTGCTGCCCGAGGAGGGCTGGCATTCCAAACTAGGCCAGAAATACTAGGATTTTCCTTTAAACCCCTGAACTCCTCAATCCAAGCCCCCCCTAATCCATAGGGATATCCTGTATATCCATATATCCCGTTTGGGGTATATTATTCAGTGGCAGGAGTAGGAGGGGAGGTCATGGCAGTCAGATTGTTCTTGCAGGATTTTGTTAATCCTCTCATAGTAATTCAATTACATCCAGTGCCACAACATTAGATACATTTGTTACAACCTTTCTTTTCAGGTGATCTTCTCACAGAAACCTTTCCATTTCTTTATCATTTTGGTGTGGCTCCCACAGAGAGCAGCACTTATTCACAAGTGTGAATGGTTCATCCTCATGATGGTGGAAATCAGGAGTCACTGGCTTGTTTCTTCCCATTTCCTGGGGGCAGGAGGGAGAATCAGGCAGTTTGTGATTAGAGACAAATCCTAGAGCACAGTCCTGCCAGCTGAAGTTAAAATAAACCTCTGTCACAGCTGCTCCCATGCTCCAAACTGCTGGAGGAATGTCCTGCAATGGAGCTGGAATTCCCTTTGAACTATAGATCAGGAAGCATTCTTAAGGTAATTTAACACAGTTAATTTAAAACAATTCATTTAAAAATAATTAATCTGCCTTAATTTTCATACAATCTTCTGTAGCCCACAAAAATCCAGGGTTGGAGCCCGACGAACCCACGGGTCGGAGCGCGGCATCCGAGGGCCCGGCTGTGGGAATGGTGGGGTTTAACAGCAGGACTGAGACTGCTCCTGTGATCTACACTGACAAACTGGGTCATTTTGTCACTCCACTGCACAGACTGAACTGGCTTTTGATAACTTACCACCAGAGGCTGTTTGGTCAAAGCATCTTAAGAAAATTTCTCATGGAATTGGTCACGGGTTGTATTTTGCTGTTGGTGTGGAATGATTTTGCTGGAGCTGTCCAGACAAAATCCTGAATAATGTTCTATAGGGGACCCTGCCTGAGCAGGGAGGTTGGACTAGGTGACCTCCAGTGGTCCCTTGCAGCCTGAACCTTTCTGTGAGCAGCACTGGGAGGGGTTGTTGGGCCCTGCTGTGTCAGGCAAGGTCTGCATCGCTTCCCCTGCAAGTCTTTCCTCCTTTCTCAGGTGCTCGTTTTGGATTTAGGCAAATGACTTTTAATTTTCATGCCTTAATGGTAGTAATTGCATTTATTTGTTTCTCACACTGTCGTTTCCCAGAGGTGAAGCTCTAGGGTTGTGTGGTTCAAGAGCAGCTGAGGAGACATCATGTTTCACCCTCCTGGTCTGCCTTGGCTTCCTGCTGTGCCTGTTCTCCTTTGCTCCCCAACAGCAGATTGAATGCAGGAAAACCAAGAGAACTTTTATTTAAAATATGCCCACAACGGTCTTAATTCCTAATGTTCTCCCAAAGCTACTGGATGTCACATTTACCTTGCCACCAGACACGTACTTGGGCCAGGACAGAAAAATTATTGTACTTTTAAGCCCCAGAACAAATTACTTTTCTCCTGTTCTTCTTC